TAGTCTTCCTAGCCCCAGCAGGGTCCTAGTCTCATCGTTACTTTTGGATCATGACAGCGTTTGTCCATGATCATGCCCTCAACTTAGAGTTGAGTATCGTGGCACTTTGGCCTGACCCATTTCAATGCCAGGGTAGTTCACAACTTGCCTTGGGTCCATTCAGTCCCTCGTCAGGACCCTGCTTTTAGGGTGACAGGAACAAAGGGCAGCTGAGTCAAGAAAGCAGATGCCCAGGGCTAAATATTATTCAAGGCCAATCAACTCCCAAGTTACAAAGCATAATATTAACTGTCTTCTTGTGTCCATACAGAAAGGACATTGCTTTAAGGTAAACTATGCAAAAGACATAACTTACAATACAAGTTCAGTGTCCTTAGAAGGATCTTATCTTACAAACTAACATAATCTGATTAGGGAGAAAGGTGATTAACTGGCTGGGGAGGAGAGCACAGAGAAGAGTTTACAGATAAACAGAGGAATGGGAGTGACTTGGAGCACTGTGATGGGTGTAACCCGATGAACCTAAGCTCCTTGTGGCAAGAGAGAAAGGACTAGCCAATGTTATCCTACAGTGCAGCCATGACCACAGTTGTGCATATCCCTTCTGAAATCAGTATTTTTTATTCTTAGGATGGGTTCCTACATGTGGAATCACGGGATCATGTAGAAGTTGTGTTTTTAATTTTTCAAAATCTCCATAGAGGCCCAAATAGTTTACAATTCCACCACAATGAATAAGTTTCTTTATTACTGTTATTATTATTATTATTATTGCTTCTCATACTTACATTTCACAAATTTGGTAGTTGAAAGTTAGACTCGTAAGAAACTTTCTCAAGACCACAGAGCAGTGACTTAATGCAGGCCCATTAAGGATTTTAATGTAATGTAATAAGATACCTTTATCATGGAGACATAAAGCATAAAAAGTCTATGTGCCTTATGGGCTTACTTCCTATTGTATATTTGCAAAAGCCAGGAACTAAACCTTAAAATCGTATCTATACTCGGTATTGTGACTAAATTTTCTTTAGAAACTATTTTGTTTAGCTTTTGTTGTTTTGGGGTTGCTGTTATTTTTTTCAGCTATTCTTGACTTTTTGCTCGGAGGGTCACTTCGGTGATGCTCAAGGGGACCTTGCAGTGCCTGGAATAAACTCCAGCCTCTAGCATGTAGACCTTGTACTCCAGCCCAATGAACCCTTGACCCTGTCGAAAATATGAAGATGCATATACAACATGTGGGTGGAGAGAACTGATATGTGACCTTTTCAGATATAGGTACGCAATTTAAAATGTTCTCAACAGAAGCTTACATGTGGAGTGAATTTATTAATACCTCTTTATTAGCCAAGGAAAATAGGGTGCACAAAGGAAAATCCTGACAAACACATAGCTGACATATTTTGGGTTACATTTCTATAGTCGTCGTCTATTGTCTTCTGAATTTTCAGAATAGCCTGGAATGTTCCGATGGAAGTATGTAACCACAGAGCAGCCCCACACTGAGTTGTGGACTAAATCAAGTTTGTTTCTGGCTATCTTCCAAATGGGGCTCCCACAGTGCCTCCTTGTATAAGGCCCTGTGTTGGGCCAGTCCATGTTCATGGGCCTTCAAACTGCATCAGGGCTGCCCACAATGGGTCCCAGATTGGGTGCCTTAGAGTGTGGCTCTGTTCCAGCACCATCTTCTCCAGTACAGCTGACAAGTTCTTTTTTCTTTCAGGTCTCACCCTGCTTCCCAGTATGTATGAAAATGATGGAGCTAATTTTCGTAAGCTTTGTCATTTTCATATATATTAATTTTAATGGAAAACTTCTGCAGATGACACCAGAAACGAATAATTTTTTTCACCCCATGTTCTGTGTAACTTCTTTACTAAGAAAATGATGTTGGACTTACATTCTGTGATTTGTTATTACAAATAAAATTATTGGATGGGATTTTCTCTTTTTTCTTATAGACTTTCCTCAACTTATTTCCCCTCCTCCATTGAGATTCTTGTGTTCTTAGATGCCCTAGTCCATTTCTCTCCTCTTTCCACCTCTGATCATGTGTGTCTTGAGTCATAGCACCAACTCCCTTGCTGTCCAGAGTGAGTTAAGCAGTGTGAGCTTGCTTTCATTCCCACGTCTTGGCCAACATTAGAATAGGGATGGTCAGAAAAAAACATTCTGAATTATGATTGCAGTGTTCTTGAATATCCAGGTCCAAGGTTTATTCTTTTCTTCCCCAAAATAAGGGATTCTAAGGAGGAAATCTAGCAAGTCAGATTCTTAGTTGCAAGCTGTGTGGGTCCAGTCCAGCAGCGGACACAAGGTACGTTTTGCACATGGGCAGTTCACATTTCCCAAGCGCCTTCTAAGCAGCAGTAAATGAGAAGCTTGGTCCCATTTGTTCTTCACAAATACCCGTGAGAGTATCTTGTCCCTTTCCCCTTTTTAGAGATTAGAAACTGATGTTAGAGACGCTCATTTGCCCGAGACCTTGGAGCTGGGATTTGAATCCTTTTTTGGTCTGACTTCAGATTTTATGCTTTTATCCTCGATATTTTGTGGAGAATCTTTATTGTGCCAGAGAAGGGCTGAATCCCCAGTATGTTCACATTCATGCATTCATTCATGAATTATTCATTCATTCATTCAGTGACACTCTGTGTGTGTGTGTGTGTGTGTGTGTGTGTGTGTGTGTGTGTGTGTGAACATTCATTCTGTACTTTGTCAGGTGCCGTGGAAATCCAAAGCTTAGCCAAATGGAAATCATTCCCTCAAGGAATGTGTCTCCCAGGGAATATGTCATATGTGGAAATAACTATCATATGAGGTACACAGGGAGCAGGGCCATGAAACAGATTCACGTTCCGAAAAGCCATTGGCGCTCAAAAAAGGGAGAGTTTCCATCTGGGGAGGTGAAGAGGCTCAAAGAAAGGTGGTATTTCATTTGGACCTTGAGAGATGGGGAGGATTTAAACATGAAAATGAGGGAGGCGATGGTTCTGTCAGAGAGAATATAGGAACCAAGACCCTTTCGGGGGAGGTAGAGCCAGAGCAAAGTCATGGAAAGTCAGATTTCTGGAAGAACTGGCTCACAGCAGGATGCTGGGGAGTGGTTGCTTGTCTTACCATTGAATACAGCCTTGGCTTTTGCAGCCTCAGTGCTGACCCCTCAGGGCCCCTTTTTTCTGCCTTTTATCTGGCACTTCTCTGCACAGCATGTTAAGGAACTTCATTATAGGTGGAGGGAAAATTCTTTCCCACTGAAATATTAGGAATCACCTCTTTAGGAAAAAAAATGATTCTGAATCAGCCTATTCATTTAGGAAGCTTCGACAGTGATCAGGCAATGCTTCAACCCCAGAATGCCAGAATGTGTTAAAAGCCAAAAAGATTTCTTTAGTAATGTGGCCCTTGGTGCCTTTAAGGCCCCAGGTCAGCTGAAAGGGACAAGCTGTGAGCAATGAAGCACCGAGTGTGATGTGTGCAAGGTCAAAGGCGGGCCAGGATGGGGGTGCTCCCCAGAGGGGAATGCATCGGAGCCACAAAGACAGAGGGTCCTCCCACATGTTTGATTTCGAAACTTAATGTTGGCTGTCTCTGTATTTGTGTATAAAGATAGTCCTCATTCATTTTAATGGTTATGCCAATGTTGTACAGAATGTAATTCTTTTTAATTCATCCTCAGAGTCTTATATTTAAATCCTCACCTATTTATGGATATCTAAGTTGTTTCTACGCTTACACATACTTAAGTAAACACACACACACACACACACACACGTCCACACTCTTGCATTAAAACTATTTTCTAATTGCTTTCATTTAGGGACTAGTGAAGTGAGCCAGGATATAGATCACTGCTGTGTTTGTGGGCCAGTCAGATCTCTTCCTCTGGGAGCCACATCAGGCAGGATTGGCACCTTAGAGAGAAAATCCAGTGTTCCTCCATCCACGCTGAAGGGCAAACAGGCTTGGGTCTGACATAGGAACCGTTACTGTTGATCACTCCGCCTGCACCTGCGTTACCTGTGTGCTTTGGTTTTCCTCCTGAGTTCCATGAGGGCAGTGGCCCAGAGACAGGCTATGCCTGCAGAAAAGGGACAGACCTGGGCACAGTGCTGACCACACCCACGCCCACCCTTTCAGAACAGGTCTCTTCTTTGTGCCTCTTACACACACACACACACACACACGCGCGCGCGCACCTCCTCTGCAGACAGCCTGAAAAATCGCGCCTGGAATTGTCTGTCAGGGCCTCAAAGCAGGCAACTGCTTCCTCCAGCCACTGCCTTTGCTCCTTTAACCATATGCTCATGGACCATTCTCCCATTGATTCGGAAGCACTCGATGCCGCATTGTATCCCGGTTGCTTTTTTAAAAAAGTTACCTTATCAATACTGTTTTCTTTTTCCCGTTCCAGTGCAAGAAAGTCTGTCCTCTGAAGATTAAAATACCAGTGTTTCCCCTCCTTTTATTTCGGAGTTTAGTCCTTACTATTTGATCCCTTTGTTATTTCCTTTCATGTAGAAATATGGGTTTTACCAGCTGACCAGCCCATTCTTGCTACCTCACTTTTCATTTTTCTCCAACTTCTTTCAAACAGCACTTTCATTACAGACTAAAGTTTATCCGTACTTATATCATATACTACTTTTATACTGTTCTTCTAATGTATTTTTATGTTACTATCCCAACCTGATCTTTTAATTACTATAACTTTGTATTTAGTACCTGGTAAATTTTTTTTCCTTTTTTTTTTTCTCTTACTGGAACTGCTTTGTGACTCTATTTGTTATTATTCTTGAAATGGTCCTGCAAAATACTGTAGATAAGCAAGATGAACTTAGCCATGCAAAGGAAACCTAAGTATCGTCTTTTCAAACATATTCCCTTTTCTATGACTTAATGTTATCATGTTCATGAGGTTTATTTATCAGCCTTCCAACTAATATAGCAGCATTGTTTTTATTGTAACCTCTAAAATCTTCTGCCTCTTAAAACAGGTTCCCTGTAGTTTGGAATACTGGGACGAACTCCAGAAGGTTTTCGTGGCATTTCAAGAATTCAGTCTGTCCGAAAGCAAAGTTTGTGAACTGCCGTTGCCAGATGTCAACCTTGTGCATGACCAGAAGAAGCTGGTGTCCTCGGCCCTCTGGAGAATCGTCTTGAACAACAGCCAGAGTGGGGCTGATGACCAGAGGTAACCACACAGTGGCACGATGGTGGGAAACAGGTCAAATCCACTTCTCTCAACCAAGACCCTTCTTGACCCCGTCTTCCACTAGCTGGTTGAGCCAGGCACGAACTTGGTTTCAAAATTTCAAACCTGTTAACTCAAAATCCTGTGCTTTCCTCAAAATACAGCCCCAGGGGCACTCACAGAGATCCTCAAATCTAAAACAAGAAATTCATCAAACTAACCAAAAAATAATATAGTCTTCCTAGATGAAAGAATTTAGAGGCAAAGAATCACCTACTCCCCGGGATGTTCGGGGGCGAGCAGCTTTACCTAATGAAACCCCAGGGGCAGTCACAGACGGGTCAAATAACTTGTCTCCTTTGAAAATGGGGAATCTTGGAGATATTTCCTCCTTAGGTGGTTTTTAAAATAACTTTAAAAGATAAACCTGTAGACATTAGAAATTCTTGACTAACCAAAATAACCCAGACCCAAAGGATTTCCACTTGGCAGAGTTTTACCCAGTTCTCGAATCCTTTTGACATGAAGACTTCCACACCATAGATGCTTCCTGGCACTTTGAGTCACATCCCCAGATTCCCCGTTCTGCATTTTTAAGGTTTCCAGTAAGCGTTTCCTCCTTAGCATATGCCCTGGCTCAGATAAAAGACTGTCCACAACTGACTTTTCCTGATTTCTTCATGTGCACATATCCTTAAGTTTTCCTTTTCCTGGTTCCACGAGAGACAAGAAACTAGAGCAAGTTACTCTCATTAGGAAGATTCCCTCTGGTCATTCACTGCCGTGTGCACACAGCCTTCCAGCGTTTTGTTCTCTGTCTTGCCCACGCCTCACCTTCCAATTCTCTGATGAGTGGCCCTTAGCCTTGCCTTATTCTTTGTACACAACCCCCCTTTTTCCCAGCACACATCCTGAGCACCTTAGTGGAGAAAGTGCCTACCATTTCAGGCTTTTTCAGAAAAAAAAACTGATTATCAACAAGTTTTTCTGTTTTTGTCCACTCTATATACCTTTTATACGGTTTTAATCAAAGCACACTGTTCTGTGTTGTAAATATCAGAGTCCAACTTCCATTAGAAATAGATTAAGATGTCCTTTCTTTGAAAATATTTGGAGCAGGGGGTGGAGAGAGAGTTTAGTGGGTAGGGCACTTGCCTTGCACCAGCCAGCCTGGGTTTGATCCCTGGCACCCATATGGTTCCCGATCCAGGAATGATTTCAGAGTTACAGAGCTAGAAGTAATTCCTGAGCAATGCTGGGTGTGGCACAAAAAACAAAACCTAAGAATGCTAGAAGCTGAAATCTTGTTTGGGACTGCAGAGGTAGTATAGCCAGTGGAGTGCTTGCCTTGTACACAGCTGACCTGGGTTCTATCCCTGGTACCACATGTGGTCCCCTGAGCATCACCAGGAGAGATCCTTGATGCAGAGTCAGGAGTAAGCCCTGAGCACTGCCATGTGTGACCCAAAATGAATAATTTAAAATTATAAAATAAAGTTTGAATAATAATATGTGTTCATTGAAGAATGTTTCTGGAAATCAAATTATACTACTCATAATCCCACCATAGTGAAATATTGGTTTTTAGTATCCTAGTCTTTTTCACTGATTACTCTGTGTAATTAATAATATATTTGATTAATTCCATTTCACTATCATTTGGGCTGTTTAAAAATTAATCACCCTCCAGTGTTTAATAATACATACATTAGCATAATTCCTGCTAATGTATTATTATAGTGTATAATTAGTGAAAATGTATTATAGGATTTCAGAGGTTTAGGGGGGTTTTTTGTTGTTGGTTTGGGGGCCACACCCAGTGATGTTTATGGCTTACTCCTGGATCTACATTCAGGAATAATCCCTGATGGTTCTGGTGATTGCAAGATCATATGGAATCCCAGGGATTGAACCCAGGTCAGCTGCATGCAGAGCAAGCACCCTAGCCACTGTACTATCACTCTAAGCTTCTAGGATTACAATCTTGATTTTTTACCTATAATATAGCAATTTAGACTTCCAGTGAGAAGTCAGCAGATAAAGAGAAAGGTTGCCTCTTCTTAATATAGACTGCCTAGTCAGGAACCAAGAATTCTAAAAAATTGAGATATTAGATCATTAAAATAATTTTAATATTGAGTTTCAATAATAGTAGAAATAATTTTTTATTCTAATTATGAAAGAATGCATTTTTACCATTGAAAGACACATTTAGACAAGGTTGATTACGCTGAACATTCATGGAAATTAAGCTTAGCACTCTGGAAATGTGGAAACTCCAGGGAATAGAACAGATGCAGGTAATCATATTCAAACAGCTTTTTATTAGGCTTCTGACATCTCACTCACAAATCTTTTGTCCTTACCTGGAATTTTCTAGCATTCCTATTATTGCACAACTTATCTGCTTTAAATTGTTTGGAATTAACTACTTTTCAGATAAAAAGCGATAATATGAAATAGTTTCAACAGTTGGCTTAAGAGTCAACATAATAAAACACCAACAAGGCATTTTTCAAAAGGGGCAATCAATAAATTTCATCCTTTTTTTAGAAAGAAAACATCAGCGCTTTGATGCTGTGTCAACATTCCTTACAGAGAGAAAACTGTTAAAATTATCCTGATCCAGAATATTTTGTCATCCGAGAAACCTAGAAGTGGACAGACACAACAATATTTTTGTGATTAGAGATGTTCTCCTCAAAAATGATTTTCTCAGTGGTTTGCAAAGTAGATACATTAGAAGTTCATAAAATTCATCCCATGAGGGCTGGGAAGTAGTATGGTGGCTTAGGGTGCACACTCGGCATGTGCCTCATCCAGGATCCATTTAATGCACCACTGGGTCTTGGAGGCTCCCAAGTTCTACCAGCATAACGGATACCACCAGTATCGTGGGCCTGAGTGGGCCTGAGCAGAACCACAGCCCCAGGACTTTGCCCTGTACCACCAGCCTGGGTGGCCAAGAATCACAAGTGGATGACCACGACACCCAAAAGGAGAGAGAGAACAGGGGGGAATGCCCTGCCACAGTGGCAGGGGGGCTGGGGGCGGGGGGAGGGATATTATCCATGGTGGTGGGAAATGGGCACTGGTGGAGGGGTGGGTATTTGATCAGTGTATAAACGAAACCCAAGCACAAAAATTTGTAAATCTACAACTGTACCTCATGGTGTTTCACTAATAAAAAAAAATAGAACGTTAAAAATAATAATAATAATAATAAAAATAATAAAAAAAAGAATCACAAGTGGAGCCCCAGGACCTCCTAAGTGAAGTATCAGTTCTGTGCAGCTTAATCTTTAAACATATATGGGGATACAGATGCATAGAGACAGATATCTTTCCGAAAGTTGGCATAAAACTGCCAGAGTGCAGGACAGCTACAATGGTGCAGCCTGAGTGCAAATCATTTGGTAGAGACTTGAACTTTATACCCAGGTTCAATTCCCCACCATCTCTCCAACTCTAAAGGTTTTAAGCTAAGACCTTAGAAATGGTTAGAGGCAGAGTAGACTGAGGGTGGCACTTGAGCCCTCAGTAAAATAGACCCAAGACTAGACATTCAGTCTTGTAGGCCGTGGTCCATTTACCTCAGGCAGTTATATTGACATGTAGCAGTCTCTTGAATTCAGCCCCTACATATTGGTGATAATTATATGCCACCAGCTTTAGTGGTTTACTATGTATGAAATTGAAGTTAAAGGCGGGTAGATCAATAAGGATAGTTTCTGTGAATGAAGCAGTCATTAGATTAGATCTGGCTATTTGGGGGCCTTTCTTTTAGAGACTTTAGATCCTGTTTTAACTATCCTTTTGAACTATTTATCTTTGGTATTACCCTGAATATATTTACACATCAGTGACCATTGCTAAGGCCCGACTAAACCCTCTTTATCAATTAGATTCTCCCAAGGAACAGCGCTCTCTCTCTCTCTCTCTCTCTCTCTCTCTCTCCCTCCCTCCTCCCTCCTTCCTCCCTCCCTCCCTCCCCCCCCCACCATGAGAAGTAAAGGATCCTTAAGTGAATGGACTGTCTATAAAGTGGAATTATGTGACTCCTTTTTATGTAAGGATTTTAAAGTCCCAAGTGTAGTAGAGCTAAAAGAGCCATATAGGTCAACATTTCTCAACTGAAGGCCATATAATTAAATGAAATATTAGAAAAATTTAGTTTTACTGCCTCAAAGTAAAATTATATTCCAATTATATATGCCACATTAATTTTATGATCAAGAAATGTGTAGTTTTATGGGACTAGAGATATAATACAGTGGGTAGGACACTTGCCGTGCATAGTGTTGACATGAGTTTACAATTTCTGGTACCCCATATGTTCACCAAGTCCCACCAGGAGTGATCTTAGAGCACAGAGCCAGAAGTAAGCCCTGAACACTGGCATGTGTGCCCCCACCTCCCCGCCCAAAAAAAGAAAAAGGCTTATATGAATCCAGTTTTTAAATAGAAATTGATATTCGAATAGCTTGTGGTCATTTCAATCAGGTTCTAAAGGTAGAAGTAGTATCTTAGACTACTTAAATATAACTATATATACCTGAAAAAACTCCTTTTAAGTTAAGCATTGATTAGCATATTTGATTTGGGCAAAGTGCTTAGGGCTTGCTCCTGGCTCACTCCTGTTGTGCTGAAGGGACCAAAGGGATGCTGAGGGTCAAAATCCAGGTTAGATGCATGCAAGGCAAGCACCCTACCTGCGCTACCATCTCTCTGGCCCCTTGCAACATCTTTTAAGACTCAGCTTCTTCACTGGTGAGAACACCCCACTATTCTGGGTTCACTTCTGTTCCTGGGCAGGGGCTCTTGTTTTGTTTTGTTTTGTTTTGTTTTATTAATAGCATTACATTTTCCAAATATCACTGGTTAGACTGTGAGTTCTTTGAACACCAACAATGTGTCCCTTTTGCTGTTTTTGTCATGCTTCTCCTTTGGATGCTGGAAGTCACAGTCTTTCTCTTGAGTCTCATGGGTTTGGGGGCCAGACTTCTATAACTGTGGTACAAATTTCCAGTGCAAAAAAAAAAAAATCTGGCAGATGGAAATGGAAAGGAGGCAGCGAGCACCAGTGCACACAGTGCACCCTGCACCTTCTGCCCTCCAGGCCCCATTCTCGTGCTTCTAGCTTCTGCCAAAGCGAGAAACCCAGGCAGTGCCCGGTACACCCTTCCCCCATCCACCCATGCTCTCACCATTCACCTCCAGCTGGATGCAGAGAGGATGGTGCTAGATGCTGGACAAGTGAGCAGAGCTGGGTCATTGTCCTCGTGACCTTGGATCTTCTGGACATGGCCATGTAGCACTTCTGTAACCTAGTACAATAATCACTTGGTGTTGGGTAGAGTATTGACTGATTCATATAGGTTTGTGGGTACAGATAATTTGAAGAAATGAAACAGGGGTGAAGCACTGATAGTGACCCAGAAAGTGGGGCTTGGGACAGCAGCATCACACTCTAAACCATCTTGTCTTAAACTATAAGGACAGTAAGTATGGGAGAGGGGACTGGGAGGAAGTTGGCTTGAAGGAAGGTCAGCGAGGACTCCTCTGAGACTTCTCTGCCCATAATTCATAGAGAATAATTCATACAAACATAATTTTAAGAGTAAGTGTTTATTATATGAGAAAACACAGAAGGTTTGATGAGCACAGATTGGCTCTAGGACTATGGGAACCAGCTTCATAAACCCTTAAACCAGGCATCCCACTCACATTATATTTGGAGACTGAAATTACTGACTTCTTTTACGACTTCCTCCCATAGCTCTGCCAGTGAATCTGGCTCTCAGAGCACGTGTGACCAACTTATAACACCGACAGCGCTGGCTGCTTGCACCAGAGTCGACTCCTGCTTCACCCCCTGGTTTGTCCCATCTCTTTGCATCGCCTTGCAGTTCGCCCACCTTGAGTTGCACCTTTGTCATCACCTCGACCAACTAGGCACAGGTATGCTTTAATCTAGCATCAGAGTAACATCCTCCGGGCCAGAGAGATAGTACAGCGGGGAGGGCACTTGCCTTGCATGCGTTCAACCCAGGTTTCATCCCTGGCACCCTGTATGGCACCCCAAGCTCACCAGAGGACAGCTGGGTGTGGCTCCAAAACAAAACACAAAATGGCAGTCCCTTACTGTTAACCGTTTTTGTTCCCCCACGGGTTTTTCTTCCTTTTTTCTTTTTCTTTTCTTTTTTTCCCTTTTTTGGAAACAAGTCATCTGTTTTTACTCAGAAGATTTGTTTTCAGGAAGTGGAGAGGCTTGGAGGTGTTTCCATCCTGTACCTTAGATGGGGGTCTTCACACATGGGCCCTCAGGTGTAGAAAGTTGAAGAACGCTTCATGAGAACGTCAGTGACGTTCCTTCCCTGTGATTCTGTTATCTGGCTCTTCCTCGCTCCCCTCCTGACAGCTCCACCACACATGGCTGCAGAAGTTTGGGGGTGTTGCATCCATCCCCAAGTCAGAGGCGTCTGAAACACCTCTGAAACGTACCATAGAGGTTACCGATTATCGTGAGCTGTTTTGCTTGCCTCCTAATGAAAATTTTTGAGTAGATAATAAAATTGCAGATGTTACCATTATTCTCATTATCATTTTCTGGGAGGTGGGCTGAGAAAGAGCCATGCCTAAGTCCTCTGGCATTACTCGTGGCTCTGTGCCAGGGATCACTCCTGTTGGAGTTTGGGGGACCATATGTGGCGATTGAACATGCAAAGTCACATGCAAAGCGAGCAAGATACACTATCTCTCTGGACACCCAGAATTTGTCTCTGAAAATTAGTGTAACCATTAGATAAAGATTTAAGTGATGCCCTGATCAAACACAAAAATTTGGTTTGCAATATCACACAATAATTAAAATGTTTCAGTGCCCTCAGGAAGATATTTAAAGTCTAAATAGCAGATATTGAACTTAGGAACCACAAAAATGAATAATGCAAATATCTTTCATTTTTTCTTTCCATAAAGTATGGGCTCACTTTAGTATTTTTTTCCCTCTCATTGGTTTTTCTCAACAGCTCCCCCACAATACCTGAAGCCGTTTATTTCGGATAAAAATGTGCCCTCCGAACTAGAATACATGATTCTTTCCCTCAAGGACCCTCACGTGTACCTTCAACAGTGGAATAATAGTCGAGCCTGTCAGAAGCTCCGGTTCTCGGCCCAGGTGGACTGCAGACTCCTTGAGTACCGAAACGTGACCATGCAGAGTATCGTGCAGCCCTTCAGCATCTCGGGGCAGGTGGCGCTTTCCAGCGATGCAGCGGGGGAGCTGCTGGACGGCGCGGTGGTCATTGACTCTGTGAGCATCAGCTTTGGACAGCACGCCGTCCATTCCCTGCACACCGCGACCAAAGCGTGGCAGCAGGTAGGCACATCTTCGGGCGTCAGCAGTTGTCTGTGTGTGACCTCCTCACTGTTATCACTCCTCATAAGTAGTGCAGTGCAAACAGGAGAAGGAGAGAAGAAAGCACTTGATGGGCACCAGAAATGCATGGTGCCAACTCTGTTTTGGCAAGGGCCATCGTGTTATTTTTAAAAACTTTGGGGAGTATGGGTTCTCCGCTCAGGCATTGGAGATCATGCCCACATTTTTGTGACTAATGTACCACATCTGTGTGGAAAGGAACATATTCCCAGAAATTTTTTCCAAGTATTATGGCTTTAGTGTGCCAAAGCTTCAACGTAGCTATGTATCAGATGGCCCAAGCATCCATGGCAGAAACGAAGAACCTTTTCTGATCAAAAGTATCACATCCTGCAGACAGGAAGCAGGAAGCAGAGAGAGAGAAGAACGACAGAGTGTAAAACCAAGCAAAACACTTCCCAGGGGATTTTTTTTCTCATCAAAGACCTTTTACTCTTATGGCTTGTCAGAAATGAGCCCTATGAAAAATGTGATGGTCTATGCTAATGAAATCTGTTCCCATGACCTCGTTAATGGACTTGTCCACATCCACTACTATATTGCCGAGGCATGTTTGAGTACTATGCTCAGCGATTTACGATCAAAAATGATAAGGTGTGCAGCGATTTAAGAGTAGATCACCACTGCATCCACTACTGATTTTCACAGTAATCTGTTTCCACAACGTTTGTGATGCTATTTAAGTTGAGCCATTTTCCCACATTTCATATAGGTGACAGACGTTTGTATGGAGCTGACTCCCCATGAGAAATGGTCCTGTAGCCCACACTGACCTCCTGTGGGGACAGGGGAGGTTGGGGGAGTCAAATTCTCTAACTTAACAATTTTTATGGGAATCAGCTCTCCTCTTTATATGCATGAAGACCTATACAAGACTAAGGAATTAATTACCTAACATGGCACTACAATAGCAAAGGGAAAGAAGATAACACATCTGTTTCATATTTTGAAATTCTTTTTTAAGGGCATTCCATGGTTTTCTTGTTGCAAAGGACATGCGTAAAATAAGAGCTAGTGTGATCTAAATCTTTGCAGCTGGTTCAAATAGCGATGTGAAAAAAACCTTCGTGGCTCCAATTTCTGTTTTTTGTCATATTTTGAACAATGCATTTAATAAAAAACAAACCCAGAAAATATAAAAGAGTCATTGATAGAGCATTTAAACCCAGGATATTTTTGTCCTGGTATCAGGACCATTATAAGAAAGCTCGTACGCAGCAACTACTGCAAAATGGCCCTCAGAAACGGCTGTTTCCTCCCTGGGTCAAATTGTTCTCTGAGATACAGCTATACGTATAAATAAAATACAGTGCATAAATATTTAAATGTTTTAAACCACATCAGAGTGTGAATGACTGACTAGCTAACACCGTGCCTTGAAGGAATATTCGAGTTTTTTTTTTCTTTAATGGAATGGTATATTTGATTAAGTAGAGCCATATGTCACGTAGCGTATTGCTGACAGGTACATTCTATGAATAGTTGGTTCTGATTTATACAGGGATTTGGCAATGTTAACACGAGCCACAAGAGGATATACTTCTGTAATTGTTGCTGTAATTTTCTCGTTTCCTTCCATGTCAAGGGTACTTGCCACCAAGTTTTAATGTGGTAGGCATCTAGCCCTCTGTATGCTAAAGTAAATACAGAAAACACACTACTCTGAAATGACAGGACATTTGACATTGAAGTGGACTTACCAAGGGTTATTCAGTTCTTTGATTATAAAATGTTCTGAATTTGCTTTATCCCTTTAGAGGGAAGTCGAGTTTCCCAGGGAGGGCAGGGCGCTGCTAGTGTAATTGTTGCCAAAGAGAAATAGGAAAATAGGAATTTAAGAAGCCGGGTAGGTCATGGAGTCGCCACATCCTTCTGATCAGATTTGTATCCCAAGCAAGTCATTCGTCCCCAGCGTGGCAGGACCAGACAGTTGAAGCATGAAACAATTTGGCCTTTCACCTCTAGGTCACAAGATCAAGATGAACAGAAGCCTCCCTCGGTATCTAATTTCTCCGACTACAGGTCTCTCACTCTCTCCCATAAATGATGAATGTTTTGTGAAACCAGATTAGGGACCCGGAATGCCACTCATAGTTTGCTGGCAGTTTCTGTGCCACATCTTCAGATTTGCACAAAATTGCACTTTCTGACAATTTTGACTTAAAAACCAAAATTAGGCCTGGAGACCTTTTTTTTGCATTAAAAAATGATGACTCCGTTAAGTGCAAGGCCTTATTAAACTTCATATTTAAACACAGTTTAAATATGAAGAAGTCAGTTTTTATTTCAAATCAGAGTATACTGAGGCTTCGCCTATATGATGCCACAAAAATGTGTAGGAACTTTTTTTTCTTTTTACAGCGTACCAGAATTTAAGGCATTTCCATAAATGTTTTAGCTTATTACGGTTATAATGAACTCCACAGATGAAGGAACACTCTAGAAACTGTCCCCTGAGGGCATTGAATATTCCTTAGAAAAATGTAAACAACCCCTGGTGTTCTTTCATTTACATTTCCTCCCCAAACCTTTGTCATTTATTAAAGGTCAGTTTTTAGAGAGGAGGAGAGTAATGTGATTTTGTTTGTTTGTTTCTGCACAAGCTCCATCTGGTAACTTAACCTCTGTATTACCCACAGAGTGATCCCAATTCATTATGAACACTGAATTTTTGATCTCTGACTATCAGTCTAAGTGGGAGTTTGGAATATCTGCCCTTTCTTTGTGCTTGCCCTCTTGGACCTGAAAGAAGAGAAAAGTGTTTACAAGGAGAACCACGATGTTGATGATATGATGTTATGTGGAAAAAATCTCATCCAAATGATTTTGATCCCATGGTTCCAGTTTGATCATAGGTTTCAATAAATATATGAGATCGGATAGGCTAGGTGAGAAGAGCATGAGAACAAGCAGAACACACAAAAGGGATAGCAATTTCCCTTTTGGGAAGAAAATTCATCGAATTCTGCACAGTAGAGCCAGAGAGAGAGAGTACATTGGGCAGGGTGCTTGTCTTGCACTGGGCCAGCCCGGGTTTGATCCCTGACCCCACATGTGGTCCCCCTGATCATCCCCACCAGGAGTGATCCCTCAGTGCAGAGCCTATGGATGTGGCCTAAGAAAACATAAATAAACATATATTCATTTATGTAAAAAAAACATATAAACATAGCAGTTGCCTCCAAATATAAAATTATATTGTTGAAAGAAAAAACCCATATACATTGCGTTTCTTAATTTCTCTACAGTGAGCATCTATTTCGTGTGTCATTTGGAAGTGAAACAGATTCAGTAGGTTTGCTTCCCATGCGTTGTAGAGCTTCCCAAAAGCATCTCTGCTGCTGGGGCATATCAAAATGCTGCGGGGAGGAAGCGGCCTGAGACCAGGGACCATAAGGGAGTGGACAAGCTAGTCAGGCGAGGGAGAGATGGACAGAGGCGGATTTGTGGTGTCAGGTGACTGAAGTGGGCCCTGGGAGTGGCAGGGGTGTCAGAGGGCTTGAGGAGCTGGCCTGAAATGGGCAATTACAGAGTGACTTGGGGTAGCTGAGCACAGCCCCATGGGACCATCGGGGTCTGGAAACCCAGCTCTGGGGTCAGAGCACCGTAGGAAGGATGGTGGCGGACATCTCTGTACCAGTGCTGGTTACGACTGCTCTCATCTCACTTAGTCAGAAACTCTCCTGGTGACCAGTGGCAAGTAAAATCTCAGTCTTGGAGACCAGAGGCTGAGAGAGCAAGGCTCGAAGTCCACTGGGTTCTCTGGAAAAATTAGGCATTTCCGGGCCTTCGTCCCCGCTGCCCAGAGTTTGGCTGCTCCATGGAAGCCTGTGGAAGCTTCCGGTTGGGGCCTGCCTGGGGTCTCTCCCAGGGTGGGGCTGGAGATCTGCTCTCGGCCCAGGCTGGGCTCCTTGAATTTTCATCCTTGGGCCTCTCGGGCTTCAGGCTTCACTTCCAGCAGCCACGCACATGAGCAGCAGCCCCTGTCCTCCCTCGCGCCTTGCAAGCGCCACATGACAGCACATTGTTGTCATGACATTACTCACACCCACAGCTGGGAGAGGGAAGAGCGCCAGTTGTGTTTTACATGCCATGGCAGCAGTTAGGCTGATGAAGATATTTTTTCTCCCGTGGAATTCTCGGATTTATCATGGACTTAGCTATTTTCATTTACCAGAGGCCTGTGTATTGGTGTGGGGGGGTTGGTCTTTTGTTTCCCTGTTTGTTTGTTTTTAGCCATAACCCAACCAGATTGATAAATGAATAATCACCAAAAATTCCTTATCACTTTGGCAGTGTTTGGGCTTAAGACAGCCAACAGAGATATCATTACGCTGATGAGGTATCAACACAGAAATGTATTACTAATTTGTTGAGCCTCGGCGGTTTAATTGGTGACATTAGTTGATTGATGACTATTAGCTGAAACAGACACTAACAACTGGTTTTTAGCTAACGTTATTTCTCTTGAAAAGCAACAACTTGGCTTACACCGACTCTTGGACTTCATCTGTTTTGTGTGTTCAGCCTCTATAGAATAGAGCGACAGTTGTGGTTTTATTTACATCTCTCCCTGAGCAGATTTACACACACACACACACACACACACACACACACACACACACACACACACACTCCTGCCTCTTTCAGGAACTGGAAACACATTGCCTAAATGATCCACACTTTCTGTCGGGTACAAACTGTGTCTTTGGTAATTGGGCCTGATTGTTTCATATAGAAGGCCAGGAACTTGGTAATTCTAGCCTCCAGGACTCTGCTCACAAACGTGGTCTTCCAGTCCCAGCTAATTCCTTGGAAAATGTTAAATGTTTGAAGGATCTCATTGTTCTCTGCTCTTCTGTGTCTATGATTTATTTTGCAGGAGCATAAATTGAAACATATTCTTGGACCCTTTCAGATCTCTTGAAGGTATTTTCTGTACTTGCCCTGGAAGTATAGAATACTTTGTATACCAGAGCTAATGACAACAGATCTCGCTGTGTTTTGTGTGTTGTAAGAGTCGCCACTGGGCAGACAGCTGCCAAACAGCTTTGCAATTAATCTGATGCACGTTGGCTTTCCTCTTCTTTTTCTTTCAGAACAAATGCCCTGAGGTAGAGGAGTTGGTCTTCAGCCATTTCGTGATCTGTAACGACACACAGGAGACGCTGCGGTTTGGCCAGGTGGACACGGACGAGAATATTCTCCTGGCCAGCCTCCGCAGTCACCAGTACAGCTGGCGTTCGCACAAATCTGCACAGGTACGGGCCCTCCGGGGCCCAGTGCACAGGGTCGCTATGTGGGAGGGAAGCTCGGCCGCCCTCTCCAGGGAAAACTCCTCCTGGAGGCAGAGCTGTGGACTGTGGGAAACCAAGCTGGATGGCAGAGGCATCTCCCTGGGGAGCCCCCAACCCCGCTGGAAAAGGGGGTCCAAGTAACGCCTGCTACAGAGGGTTGGGGCACGGGGGGACTCTGTGAATGGGTGTGTATCAGCCCAGCGGATTTGGGTTTGGGGTTTTTCGTGGATTTGGGTCTTTCCCATGTGCTGGCCTCAGGCCTTACTCTCTGGGGACAGCATGGGATGCATTGTCCAGAGGAGCACTGGGAGAGGCAGCCAAGAGCCCAGGCACTGCCCAGGTAGGAAGATTCCGCTCTTCGCTCCCTGTGCAGGGCACTGCAGGGCTGAGAGGAGAAACAACTAAACCCAAAGATGTGGCCGAGAGCAAGGCAGAGAAATCCTCAGGAGTCCTCTCAAGAATAACGGACTTCCAAAATGCTGGGAAGAAGGAAACTACTGTCTGCTTGTGATTACAGAAAGTCATTAGATTAGAGAAGCGTTTCCCTTCTGGCCCAGTGGCCCGCTCCGGAGCACAGGCTGCCCGGGGCTCCCTTGCGCTTCCCCACACCCCCAGTAGCTGGATCCCGGTTTCTTCCTGGCTTTGGCCACGTTACTAGTGTAAAATTAGGGAAAGTAGATGCAGTACGATTCTCATTTGATCCAACTTAACCCGACAGGAAATGGGGGGAGAAAAACGATCTAGTCTTTCTGAAATAAAAGTTCTCAGGCAGTGAAGCAGATGAGCTGACACTGCACTTGGCCTTTTCGTGAGATGAGCATGCAAGGCCTTGCGGTCTTGCTTCTCGTCCACAGAGATCCCAAGGAACAGGGGTCATCTCTTTGAGCCTGTAACAGAGTCAGACTTTCTGTGTTTGGTTCCAAATTCAGCCTCTTCGGTCTTGGCCTTTGCTTTTTGATGTTTTGAAGCTGCAAAGTGAGGCCATAAGGGATAGGGATGAACACTAAGATCCCAGCCCCGCAAAGAAAACCTGCGTTGATACTCAGAGCCTTCTAGCTCTTTCTGGGAGGTGTGTTCATCAGGGCAAGGCAACAGTGGGGGCAGTAACTGTGCCCTTCTGCTCACCTGCAGCCATTTGGGCATTCTCATGGCAGCTGAGGTGTTGGCAGGAGAAAAAGGAGCAGAGGAAGCACACATCCCCCACCCAACCCCTCCACCACCATTTCTTATTCAGACTCAGCCCCGGCCCTCAGAGATATTCTGGATTCAGGACGGGGAGCCTCATGCCTGGAAGCAGAGCAGGCAGCCCAGGTCTGTAGGGAAAGAGTCTCAGCGGGCGAGAAGAGCCACCGGACAGTAGGATGGATGAACATGGCCATCTCGGCCACCTCACCATCTTTAAGGTCTTTCTGTACCTGTTGCTAGCTCAGTTTCACCTTGTCCTCCACTGGTGTCTATAACTCGTCAGTGACACCTGGGAATGGCCAGCAAGAGTTGGAACCAAACCCCAGATCTCTGGATTGTCTGTCTACTGCCAGCACCGCAGCATGAGTCAACTTTCCTAGGCTCAGGAAGTGTGATTTGTTGGTTAGAATAACCGAGCCGCCAGGTTTGCATGGAAGGGCTCGGAGTCACTGACAATATGAAGACGCCATATCTGAGGCAAGATGCAAGAGCCTCGTCCAGGGTGTACCCTGGCTTCCACGGTGTCACCCCAAACAGAGCATTGCCATGACACCTGTCAGTCAGAGGGCAGCTAATCTGTTGGTATGCTTTTCCTTTTGAAATTTGTGACTTCTGGAGGAGCCACCGTGACAGTACTTAGGAAAAAACATAGATCAAAGTTGTAGAACTCTTTCTCTTTACTCCCTCTATATTTGCCCAAGGAAGTGTGTTTTAGGAAGTCAGAAACCTTCATGGGCCCAGAGAGTCTTCATTGAATTTCTTACTCTCCCATTTCAAATTCTGTTTTCAAATGAGAGGTTACAGCTAAGGATCAAAAAAAAAAAAAAAAAAACTCAGCTTCAAACTGCACCTGGTGGTTGTAATTGTCTCAAATGGGTAGACAGTTCCTTCCTCCTGACTCCAGGGTTTGGCCTGCGTTGCTCAGCAGACTGGCTTTCTGCATGTCTGTGTCTGCATGTTGGTGCTACCTGATATGTTAATCAACTCCGAGTCTCTTGGAAGATTTGTGAAGTTCGTAGAACTTAACTCCCCTAAACCGTGGAACAACCGAGAAAGTGGCAGACACATGGGAAGGTTTCCAAGCGGTCAGCCTCTCCGGGGCCCACCCTGAACGTTACTAACAACAGTAAGTCTCAACAGGAAAGGGAGATACATGCGCACAACCAACTCCGGAGCGCCCAAGCTTGAAAACCTTGCAGAAATGAAAAGTTTGAAACTCTCCTTGTCATTGTTCCAAAGTAGAATCACTGAAAGTGTGGGACATCCAACAATAATTCCTTGCCTAAGTAAACAAAGGAAAAATAAAAGTATTTCCCAGGGAGTAATTGAACATCCCCAGCTGCACCATCCCATATGCCACCACCTTAAATAGCCTCACTCAGTAGGCTTGAGGGCAGGTTGGTTGGGAAAATGATGAGCCAGAGAAGATTGTTTAAGGGAGTGCTGCCTGGTCAGTGGCGTTGAGCATAGATACTGGAAGTGGGCGTTATGGGCAGTATGTGTGTTCAAGTCAAGGGAAATTGATTTAACAGAACTCAACCCAATGTAGTGCCCAGACAGCAGGCTTTATGGAGTCAGTGCATCAGTTCACTTTCTTATTAGTTAGTCGAAGCACTGTTGGCTTACTCAGCTCCTTCCAATACAAGTTTCACCTTGTTAGTAAGGACTCGCCATTTGCTATTACACTGAAAATATAGACAATTTATGGACTATGTAATCTTTTCAGAATGCACCAGTCCAACTCCCAGTGAGTTTAACTTTAGCCATCAAATCAAATCAGACACGGTAAAAATGGGCCATAGAAGAAAACAAAGTAATAAACTATTCCTCTAAATGGATGTTGCCTAAACTTTTATAAGCTTATAAAAATGGTAGCCATGTAAAAATGCAAACTATAACAAGGTAAAGAATTCAATTCAGAGAGAGAGAGAGAGATCAGGGCTTAATGCGCTTACTTGCACATACCTGACCCTTGATTCCCCCCCACCACATCTAGTCCCCCAAGCACCACAAGGAGTGACCCCTGAGCACAGAGCCAGAAATAGGTCTGGAGCACCACAGGGTGTAGCACCCCCCACACCAGGGAAAAAAAAAGAGTTAATTTTGAAGACCAGCCGAGCATCTGAGGAATAGTCATTATGGCCATGAGAAGTGGTGATGGAAATAGGGATCATACATTCCTGTTGGGCTGGAGTGATAGCATAGCGTAGGGTAGGGTGTTTGCCTTGCATGCAACCGACCCGGGTTCGATTCCTCTGTCCCTCTTGGAGATCCTGGCAAACTACCAAGAGTATCCCACCCGCACGGCAGAGCCTGGCAAGCTATCCATGACGTATTCGATATGCCAAAAACAGTAACAAGTCTTACAATGGAGATGTTACTGGTGCCCGCTCAAGCAAAACAATGAACACTGGGCGGACAGTGCTACAGTGCTACGTTCCTGTCAAGTGGAGGTCTGTGGCAGAGAGTATGCGGGCCTGGTGCTTGGGCCGTGCTTCCTGTCTCTGTCCCAACTACTCACTCGGCACAAGATCAGCCGGAACTAATGAGTGTGCTATGTTCCAATTAACTTTATTTATAGACAAAGAAATTGGAATTTCAGTAATTTTCACACATCACGAAACAGTATCCTTTTGACTTTCTCACAACATTTCAAAACATCAAAGCTGTTCTTAGCTCTCAGGGGATAAGAAAAGAGGTGGCAGGTCTATATGGCCACAGGGCGCGGATTGCTAACCCCCACCTCAAGATCTCTCCCTCAAGTTACTCACATGGAAAGGCTCGATACCAAGTTGTTTTCATGCCTATCAACAAGAGAGTTCCAGGACTTGAGAACGTGGTTGAATGTGTCTGAAATCAAGGGAAAATAAGAGGTAATAATTAAATCTAACTATAGTCAGCTGGCACTCACCAAATCAATCAAACATTTTTGATACTTGTTCCAAGCCTATAGAAAGGTCTCCATTTCTCTTATTGAATGTGAAAATAACTTAAAATAAGATTAGGTTGCTTTTCGTTTTATATGAAAGTAAAGTAAAAGGTTCTGAGCACCTGCATATCTTAGAGTAATTTCAATCATTCATCAATTTCATTAACTAAACTGCAATTCTTGTCACTCTTCCTGTACCCCAGAAGAGTTATATAATTCATGTATACACATGTTTATAGAAAGAGAAATCCTTTGCCACCATCACAACTGAAAGATTTAACCCAGTGATGAGCTCAGCGGTAGAAATACTCTGTGTTGGCAGAACTTTTGAAGCAATGAATGTTTCAAGTGCTCACCTGTGATTTATGGGGCACTTTGCACATACGGAAATCTTTGCTTAGAAAGGGAAGCACAGGGCCTGCAAAAATTTCTGACACCCATTCCTGACTAATTGGTGTGCCCGTGTCCTCCCATACCCACCCTGACAAAGTCCACTCCCACAACCCAGAACCGCCGTGGCCAGACTCCACCACCTTAGGACTGAGTCTCACATAGAACCTAAGCTCCCGAGAACTTCAGGCACATGGAGCATTTTGACTAAAAACTTCAGGCCTTCTTGCAGTCAGGGTGGGTGACCACCCCCCACTTGCCCATACTTCCGGAAGACCTGGCAGCCATGACCACTCGCCAACTCCACCAGTTTGTAAGTGCATCTATTGGCCTGGTTCCAGGGTATCATAATTCTTGAAAAAGAGAGGAATAAAATGGGGGCGGAGGAGAGAAATGCAGGGTCTGAGGATGTGATTCAAGTGGGAGAGCACATACCTGCACCCAGGGGCCCCCAATTCAG